CGACTTCACCACAGAGCAGCGGCGCGGGCTGGACGCGCTCACCCTCGCGCTCCACAACCTTCAGCTGAGGGAGCATGCTGTGGGTGGCCGTGGCGGCCGCGGGGCGCGCAGCACTGCCGACGGCGAGCGCGCCGTGGACGACGGGGCCGCCAGCGAAGCCCCGGGCGTTGCGACCACGGGCGCCCTCAGCGGCCACGGGGGCAAGCGCCACCGCCGACGCAGCAACAAAGCCGTCTACGGCCAGGCCCCCCAGGCGAGCGACGGCGCACCAGCCGCGCTCGAAGACGTAGAAATGATGACGGAGGAGGACTACGCTGAGGCGGGCTACGTCCACTGCATGGTCGCATATTGGGCCCCGCCGCACCGCCTGGGATGGTGTCGGAGGTGCACGGCGCTGGACGACTGGAAGATCCTGGCGGTGGAGTACGTGGACGAGCTCAGTTGTGCGGAGATGCGCCGCTATGCGGAGGCCAAAGAGCACAACGAGAAATACCCCGACCTGAGGAGGGGCAAAGAGGGGCAGTACAAGCTGTACATGTGCTCGTACTGCGTGGCAACGACGCAGGGCACCTCCGAGCACGAGGCCGCGACGCGCGCTGCGCGCGCGAACAAGGGCCCAGGCTCCATTGACCACGCCGCCAAGCGGGTGGCGAAGTTCCGTGCGAGCTTCGACTACATCAAGGAGGGCATGGACGTCCTGGTGGGGTTCGCGCTCTCAGAGGAAGGCTTGCTTGCCCTGCGGAGGTCAACGGAAGGCGCGGGGGTGGGCATCGACCCCGAGAGCACAGGCGCCCCCCCAGCCACGGAAGAAGTGGCGAGGGGGGTGGGCCGCCCGATGGCGAGGGAGGCGGGGGTGGTGCCAGGGCCGCCCCGTGCGCCACCCCCGCCCCTCGAGGAAGAACCTCCCAGCGATGAGGAGAACGACCCTCAGCCCGACGTGGACGCGGAGGATCAGGGGCTCCAGCTGACCGAGGCCCAGACCGTGAAGGAGGTAATGGACATCGAGCCCTTGTTGCGGCTCGGCCTATCCAAGAAGTCGCTGAAGCGCATGGCGCGGGCCTATGGCGCCCTCACATCCGAGACCATGCGTACCCACATGCTGGGCGGCCCGGGGGCCATCCTGGAAAAGAAGGAGGACATGGTGAGGGGCACTGAGGCGCAGGACGGAGTCCAGAAGTGGCTCGACGCGCTGGACGAGGAGGCGGAGGTGGATGTGGGAAGGTTGAAGTGGGGTCTCCCGGAAGCCTCGGGGATCGCAGATGCCCACTTGGGACACAAACGTGTTTGGAAGGAGGAGTGCCAGGGCAACACCGCGGCGCAGGAGGCCTACCGCCGCATGGGCGACTACACGGACCAGTTCTACCGTGACAAGGGCTTCACGTTCAACATGTACTACAAGTGCGCGGCCAACAAGACCTGGACCTGGGATAATCCCAAGGGATGCTGTTCGGTGATCCGCTCGGATCGCTGGTCACAGCTGCTCTCATGCGCCCAAGAGGCAGCGGGAGAGACGGGCCAGCGCTGGTACTGCCACTGCGGTGCGCGCTACTCGACCTCCTACGGAGTCTGCATCGAGTTCATAGAGGAGGAGGCGAACCCGCCACACGCGCACTACATGCACGCGGAGCATCCCGAGGAGGACATCCGCGACCTGAAGGCCCTGCTGCGCTACGACAAGCTCAAGAAGGAGGGGATCTCAGTGCTCAACGCGGTGGACCTTCTGAGGTACCTGCCCAAGGTTGAGCCGCTGGCGGTTGGCACCGTCTTCACGCGCTATGCCCCACACCAGGCACAGTGGGAGGGCCACTATGTGCTGATGGAGGGGCTCACCTGGGAGAGCTTGCCCACGTTCGAGTGGACCGACCTCTACGCGCAGGTCGCCTGGGGACTGAACGACCCTGAATGGGCGGGCTACAGCAAGAAGGCGCGGAACAAAGCCAAGAGGGAGCGCCTGGAGATGGCGCGCAGGGAATTGGCGCTCTACGAGCGCCGCCACAACCTGAAGGAGGGCAGCCTCTCGGGCGGCGGGGGTGGCACAGGGGCCGCCCCACGTGCCACCCCCGTTCGCAACGCCAGCGCCCCGCCAGCGAGCGGAGCCCGCGGCAGCCAGGACCCGCCACCACCGCCAGCGGGAGCCCCGCCAGAGGCCGCGGCCATCATGGGCCCCCCGCCGCCGCCGCCGACGGCGCCCCCTGATGCGCCGCCGCCGCCAGCGCACCCGCCACCGCAGACGGACGTGCTCCCGCAGCAGGCCCCAAGCGCTGCGGCCCTGAACGTGGCCCTTGGTGAAGACCTTGAGCGCCAGATATGTGGGCCCTCAGGGCAGGCGGGGGGCAGTGGCGACCTCGGCGGGGAGGCGCGGGCGCTGCCGTCGCAGGTCCTTGCTGCCATCGCGCAGGGAACAGGCCAGCAGGCCTGAGAGATAATGCCCAGCGGATTCCAAGACCTCGGCAGGCCGCGTGAGTCCATGCCAAATTGTCTATTTGCCACTCTCTGTAGTGCGGCGGGCCCATAGCGGCGCCCCCCTCGCATGGCGGCACCTGTAGCCTTTTGCCTAGGCTCGGCGCAAGACTACCTGTGCGCCCAGCCACCTTGGCTCGCCAACTGGCTTGCCATCTCGGCCCCCTCACGCTCACTTGCGCTCGTTGGCCTCGCTGGCGGTGCTGGGGCAGCTCCGTGTACCGCAGCGTCGCTGTCAGGCGCCTGGCCATTTTGGCATGCCATCCTGGCCTCCTCTCGCGCCTTCTTGCGCTTGTAGGCCTGGGTGGCGGTACTGGGGTCGCCCCGTGTGCTGCTATGTTGCCGCCTGCGCCTTACTTTTTGCTGTAGGGACCAGTTGCCCTCGGCCAGGCGCCAGCTGCTGCATGCACGTCAGACCCGCCCTTGGCTTGCCATCCAGGCCTTGCCTCGCGTCTTCTCGCGCTAGTCGGCCTGGGTGGCGGTGCTGGGGTCGCCCCGTGTGCTGCTGTGCCGTTGCTGGCGCTTCACTCTGGGCTGTTGGTCCAACTGCCCACGGTGCGAGCGCCTGACGTTGCAAGCATGTCAGACCCGCCCTTTCACCCAGAAGAGGTGCGCGCTACATACTGGCAATGAGGCAGCCGCAAGGACGCTCTTGCCTAGGTGGTTGAGCCTTGGTGATGTGGTGCACGAGACCGCCAGTAGTAGTAGTAGTAGTAGTAGTAGTAGTAGTAGTAGTAGTAGTAGTAGTAAGTAGTAGTAGTAGTAGTAGTAGTAGTGTAGTAGTAGTTAGTATAGTAGTAGAGTAAGTAGTAGTAGTAGTAGTAGCAGTAGCAGTAGTAGTAGCAGTAGTAGTAGTAGTAGTAGCAGTAGTAGTAGTAGTAGCAGCAGCAGCAGCAGCAGCAGTAGTAGTAGTAGTAGTAGTAGTAGTAGTAGTAGTAGTAGCAGCAGCAGCAGCAGCAGCAGCAGTAGCAGTAGCAGTAGCAGTAGCAGTAGTAGTAGTAGCAGTAGTAGTATGATGTGTCGTATTGTTCTTAATCGTAGTTGCATTATGTTCCGTTTGTGTTATCAGTCGTAGTAGCCCCAGCATCAGTACTAGTAAAGCATTAGTAATTTCGTTGTTGCTCGTATCTTTCATGTATGTACTAGTAATGCTCTTCTTTTGATGCGTACCATTATTAAATTTCTTCATCTTAACGATATCAGTATCATTAGCATGGCATGCCTGTTGACAAAAGTGCCGTCCCCGTCCTGACAGATGAGACACTCAGGCGACGGGACCCAACCCTGCGCGTGCTGTCTAGCTTGCGGCCACTGGCCCCCGATCGCCACCGACCTCAGATAGGCACCCTCGGGGGCCGTCAGGACACGCGAGTGACACAGAGCTCGCAAGGGTTCGATCCAGACACCTTCCAGAAACTCGGGCGCCTCGAAGTGCTCAGAAACCTGTTGCATCTGCCACGACACGACTGCGCGCTCGACGAGGAACTCGATGGACCTGGGACAGAGCTCCAAGGGGTTAATGACCTGGCCATCCTCCTCCTCCTCCTCCTCCTCCTCCTCAACCTCCCTTCTCCTCCTCCTCCTCCTCCTCCCCCTCCTCACTCCTCCTCCTCCTCCTCCTCCTCCGCCTTCCTCCATCCCCTCCTCCTCCTCCTCTCCTCTCCTCCTCCTCCTCCTCGATTTCCTCCTCACCCTCGCCCCCTCCTCCACCTCCTCCTCCTCCTGCTCCTCCTCCTCCTCCTCTTCCTCCTCCTCCTCCTCCTCCTCCTCCTCGGGCTACGGCCCCAGGGGAAACCGTGCACTTCCCCTCCCCTGAGCCGGTCCCCTCCTGACGTTGCCCCTCACAGAACAAGCTAGGCGGAGGTTTGGCGGTGGTGTGCACCGTCCCTCTCCCTGCGTGCAGGACGCTCGAGGAGAGCATGCTCCCAGATCCCAGGCTGCGCTGAGCGCCCTCCTGCTCGAAGAAGCCGACTGCCTGGCCGACGCCCCTGACGTTATTCCGCAGCCGATTCGTGGGCGAAAAGCAGATCCGTATCCGCGGCCTCGAGGGCCAGGCCTCTGGGCCGCGAACCGGCGGATGTCTACGGTGGACGCTTTTTTACGGATGCCCCGCGCGGAGCGGAACACGTCCGTGCGACCGCGTATCCGCAGGATCGCGCCCCCGATTCTGGAGCGCGAGGGTGCGGATACGGAGGTTCAGGAAGAGCACCGGGTGGGAGGATGGGGCTGGGAGAAATGAGGAGATCCTTACCCGTAGGCGGCCGAAGGTATCGTTGCCTCCAGATGCCATTGCTCATACCCTTCATCCTCACAACCCCTTCCTCCCAACACGATCATTGATCTTCTCCGAGGTGTACGCCGCTCGTGACCGACGCTGGCCCTCGGCCGACGCCGAGCGTCGTCGGCCCGCGCGCGCGGCGCCCGCGCGCGAGGGACCTCTTCGAGCCTCGAGCGGCGGCAGCGGGCGCCCCGACGGCGCCGCCCGGGTCGGCACTGCTCGGCACGCGGGGGGCGCACCGGCCCCTTCCGCCGATGTGGAGGCGGGCGGCCCGCGGCCGCGCGCTGGCGCTGGCCCTGCTGGCGGCGGCGGCCCACAGGCACGCCTTCCCTCGCTGGGCCTCCCAGGGGGGGGAGGAGGAGGAGGAGGAGGAGGAGGAGGAGGAGGAGGAGGAGGAGGAGGAGGAGGAGGAGGAGGAGGACCACGCCGCATCGCCGATGCGCCCGGAGGGCTGGTGGGCTTTAAGAAAGTCCTGCAGAGCAGCAAGGGCCCACGACGTCGGAAGCCCGGGCACGACGCCACGATTGGGATCGATCTGCTGGTGCGTCTCTGGCCGCTTCTGGGCCTCCAGGTGCTCCCGGAGGCCTCGTGGAGACCTCCATAGGCCACCGAAGCTTCAGAGCGCTTCTGGTATTTTCTGGCCCTCATCCCCCCTGCCCCCACCGCCGTTTTCTCGACAACCACGCGCGAACCCTACCCATCCAGGTCAGATTTCTGAAACGCCGATTGGGTTTCAGAATGTAGAGGACGTCTGCAGCCAGGGGACCCCAGCGGGGGTGTCCGATATCTCAGCGTCAAGTGGACCCGTATAGGCCCCCGGCCCCGCCTCCAGCCCCGTCAATCCTTCGTGAATCGGGAGCCTTGAGACGGGGGCAGGGGTCAGCCAGAGCGCCGGATCTTGCAGGATCCTGCAGAGCCAGGGTTGCATTAACCAGGGCCAGCGCGCAGTATCTTGCAGGATCTTGCTGGGCCTTTTTGACATGGTCTTGCATTGACCAGAGTTAGTGCGTCCCCGAGTGAAGCGGGCCCCTTCTCAGCCCACAGAAGCCCCCCGGTGGCCCCGAGGCCCGAGAGGGGGGCTGTCTGGGGGCTTCCTGGGAAACGCGGGGGGACTGGCCGCCGCGACTTCGTCGCCGCCGACGACGACGGCAGCGGAGGCGGCGGCGGTGACGGCGGCGCACTTGCCCACGACGACGACGACGACGACGACGACGACGACGAGACCTCTCCTCCACAGAGGGCGCATTGTTATGCGCCACTGCCGCGCCAGGCCAGAGCCCTGGGCTCTACGATAGCGTCTGGGTCCTCGGGGCCTCGGCCAGGAAGGCACACACACACGCCATGCGGGGGCCCAGGAGGGCCCTGACAAAGAAAGGTGGTGGTGTCGGGACGATCGACACGGGTGCGGAAACAAGGGACACAAAGTCCAACAGCAGATCTTGTTCATTCTGAGCAGGGTTCGCTGTCAGCGTCGCCGCGGTCGTTGACCATTTGAGACAGAAGGCCGCCTGTCCAAGTCAACCCACATGGTACGGATGGGCAACTTTCCCAAGGGTACCCTTACATCCTTGCCTCCTCGGTCCATCCTTGGCCACTTTCGCTGACCGCGCCCCGCTCGAAAAGCTTCGAAGCGACCTTTCGAGGCCCTTGCATCCTTATCGTGCATCCTTATAATACGGGTCGATTGCAGTCGTCAGGCACTGTACCCATCTTCGTTCCGTACCGACTGCGGGCGTCCATATAAGCGAAGCAAAAGAGAACGGGGTCGTGTGTGCCGACATTGGCGCGTAAGGTGTTCGCGTAAGGTCGCACGTAAGAATCCTCGTCTCCATTGCAGCGCGCCGCGCTGGCGGCCCGCATGAGCCACCACGTAAGGTCGCCACGTCGTCTCGCGCAAGACCCGTTTTTCATCGTCGCCCAGATGGTGTGCAGGTGCGTGCTGCTTGCCTCTCCGCGCTGCTTCTGCGGCGCACCGAGGGCGGCCTGCGCGCGGCGCTGCGCTCTCCCGGACACCCGACGGCTGGATGTGTTGTGCCATCCGAGTGCCCCAGAGGGCCCGAACATATCTCCACGGTGGGCACTGTTTCGCCTCAGAGCTATTCCTGATGGCCACTGGACTCCTCCTCTATTTCCTCCTCCTCCTCCTTCTCCTCCTCCTCTTCCTCCTCCTCCTCCTTCTCCTCCTCCTCCCTCCTCCCTCCTCTTTCCTCCCTCCTCTTTCCTCCCTCCTCCTCCTCCTCCTCCTCCTCCTCCTCCTCCTCCTCCTCCTCCTCCTCCTCCTCCTCCTCCCCCTCTTTCTCCTCCTCCATGTTTGTTCCTTCTAAATATTTCTCCTTGTCGCACCCCGAAGCCAGTTTTTAGGGCGGGCCTGGCGTTTCGCCTGAGGCTTCCTCACCACTAATGACTCTGAGGCTTAAAAATCAGCAACAGCTTCACAGATAGAGGGCGGGTTGTTTTCAAAATATGGTTATCGTTTTAGCGCCGCGCACATTCGTTGTAAAAATGTGTCAGAGCTCCACGGATTGAGGGCGACCCGTTTTCAAAAGGTGGTTCTCGCCTTAGCGCCACGCACATTCGCTTTAAGAATTATAAGGGTTCCACGGGTTGAGGGCGACCCATTTTCAAAATGCGGCTGTCGCCCTCGCGCCGCGCACATTCGTTGCAAACATGTGCAAGAGCTCCACGGATTGAGGGCGACCCGTTTTCAAAATGTAGTTCTCGTTTTAGCGCCGCGCGGATTCGTTTGTAAAATTCACGGATTGTGAGCGGCTCCGTTTCAAAATGTGGTTCTCGCCTTAGCGCCGCGCACATTCGTTTATACATTGTGCAAGAGTGTCGCGGATTCCATGACCATCGTACCAGAAATAGCGTTTGGGATGGATTCTGCGGGCGCAACAGTTACGTTGATTCGCGGTGTTGAAGTCCCAAGAACGGCGTTCTGGCACGGTTCAAGATTGTCAAGGCGCAACAGTCAGGTTGATCCGTGGCGTTGGAATCCCGAGAAAAAATATTTTGGCATGCTTCAGGGTCTTCAAGCGGTTGTCTTCCAACGAGGCGGTCCCCTCAATGGAAATGAACCGCTGTAGGGGCCTATGAAGAGGGAGCTTGGAGGCCGGGTTTATCCAAACATCGTTGATAACCCTTGGGTTCACGCTGGTCCTTCTCCTCCTCCTCTTCCTCCTCCTCCTGGAAAGGCTGTCGCGACGGTCTGCGCAGACAGCCGCCAATTGCCACCCTTTGACCATTTCCCTGGGGGTCCTGAGGGAAGTCGCACCGCGGGTGGACCGATCGGCCCGCCCAGGAAGTCGGGGCACGCCTGCTTCCCGCGGCTCCAGAAAGTCGGCCTCTGTGCCGCGGTGCGTGGGGGCCGTGCCGTCGTGCACGCCGTGCCACCGCAGCACCCTCGTGCCGTGGCGAGCGGCGCCTCGCCGCCCGCGCCGCACGCGCCGTCGTGCCGCCGCGCCGCCGTGCCGCCATCTGCGCCCAGAGGTCGGCCTTCGTGCCGTGGCGCGCGGGGCCGCGGGAGGCGCCCGCGCCCGCCGCCCCGGCGCGGCGGGGGGCGGTTGCCGCGGGCGCCGCCGCGCTGCTGGCGGCGCTCGCGGAGGGCGGCGTCGCCCACGCGGAGGTCCCCATCTCGTTCCGGAGCGACCGCGGGGTGCTGCAGGCCCGGCCCGGCGCCCTCCCCAGGGCTCGGCTCGCTCTTCTCGGGGGTGCCAAGGGTGCCCCCGGCCCAAGGTGCCCCTAGCGGCTTCGTTCAACGTTGAACCTCGGGGCCCCTCTGGGCCTCGCGAGGGGTGCGCTGGCGGCCGTGGGGGCCTGCTTGGAAATCATGGGGGCACCTCGGGCCAGGGGCACTTCCAGCAGCACCCGATTTTCTTCTTGCGCAAGTGGGTGGCCCTTCCCGGATCTGCGACGATTCCACGCTTGCGGCCCGGGCGTTGTCTTTCGACGTCGACCTTTGGGGCCCGCTTTCGGGCCCCAGGGCCATCAAGGACAAATCTGGGGCGAAAAAACGGCCTTGGGGCCGCGCATAAAAAAAACGTATCGAAAAACAGATCGGGGAAGGGTCGGGACCTCTGGTGCCGAGCACCGAAAAAAACATACATTTCTATATATTTATGTATATACCTATATATAGATATAGATAGATATGTATATATATATATATATATGTAGATATGGGTGTATATATATAATAATATATAGATATATATATATATAAATATATATATAGATATAGATATAGATATAGATATAGATATAGATACATATACAGATATAGATATAGATATAGGTGTATATATATATATATATATATATATCGGAGGTGAGGGGGTGAGATCGAAGTGGAACGGAGAGCCCCCTACCGGGAAATCGGTTTCGGTTTCGTGATCGTGCGTGCCGTGCGTGCGGGCGAGGCGAAGCTGCGTGAGCGGGCGAGAAGAACGTCTCTTGTGGCTGAGGCGCGGCCGGACCCGATGATTCCTTTCCGGCAACCGGTGGCCCGCGGTGTCCCGCCGGTGTCCCGCTGTGGATGAGGCGCGGCCAGACCAAATGACTCCCTTCTGGCGTCCGGCGGCCCGCGGTGTCCCGCCGGTGTCCCGCCGGTGTCCCGTCGGTGTCCTGATGATGATGATGATGATGATGATGATGATGATGATGATGATGAAGATGATGATGATGATGATGATGATGATGAATCGATGCTGTTCTGATGATGAAGATGATGAATGAAGACGGTGATGGTGATGGTGATGATGATGGTGGAGATGATATGGTGTCCCGATATGATGATGATGATGATGATGATGATGATGATGATGATGGTGATGGTGATGGTGAAGGTGATGGTGATGATGATGATGATGATGATGATGATGATGATGATGATGATGATGATGATGATGATGATGATGATGATGATGATGATGATGATGATAATGATGTGGACGATGTTGATGATGATGATAATGATGATGATGGTGATGGTAGCTATGATGGTGGTGTCCCGATGATGATGTTGATGATGATGATGGCGTTGCTGATGATGATGGTGTCCCGATGATGATGATGATGATGATGATGATGATGATGTTGATGATCATGATGTTGCTTATGATGATGATATGATAATAATAACAATAATAATAATAAAAATAATAATAATGATGATGATGATGATGATGGTGTCCCGATGGTTATGATGATGTTGATGATGATGACGATGATGATGAGGTTGATGATGATGACGTTGATGATGATGATTTTGATGATGGTGGCCCGATGATGGTGACGATGATGATGATGATGTTGATGATGATGATGGTGTCCCATGATGATGATGATGATGATGATGGTGCCGATGATGATGGTGTCCCGATGATGATGATGATGATGATGATGATGATGTTGATGATGTGGCTGATGATGATATTGATTATGTTGTTCATGGTGATGATGAGATGATGATGATGATGATGGTGGTGTTCCGATGATGATGATGGTGTCCCGATGATGATAATGATGATGTTGATGATGATGATGGTGACGATGATGGTGCCCCGATGATGATGATGCTGATGATGTTGATGATGGTGATGAGGTGATGATGATGGTGTCCCGATGATGATGATGATGATGATGATGATGATGATGATGATGATGACGTTGATGACGATGATGTTGATGATGATGACGTTGATTGTGAGATCGATTGCGATATCGATAGTGAGATCGATAGTGAGACCGAATGTCAGATCGAATGTGAGATCGATTGTGAGATCGATAGTGGGATCGAGTGTGAGATCGATAGTCAGATCGATTGTGAGTTCGATCGAGTGAGATCGATCGAGCGAGACCGATAGTGAGATCAATAGTGAGATCGATAGTGAGACCGATTGAGTGAGACGTTGGTCCCTCCCCGCCCGAACCTCCTTATCACCCGAAAGGTGGTCGTATAGGTGTGAATACATATATATATATATATATATATATATATACATGTATGTATGTATGTATGTATCGCCAGATGTCTGGGTTCGCTGGAGGGGCCTTTGGGGCGGGGTCCCCCCACGTTGGCCTGCACGCCTGGGTCGCGGCCCACCCCGCGGCCCCCCGGAAGCAGCACACCGAGCGGGCCGCTCCTGCCTCGGGGGGCCGCTCCTGCGCGCAGCCGACCTTCTGCCCCCGGCCGCGAGGAGGAGGCCCGTGGGCCGGTGCGGAGCACGGAGGGGCCTGCGCCGGCCCGCTCGGCGCAGGGCGCGCAGCGGGGCGGTCCTCGCGACCCGCCGGAGATTCGACTAGACGCAAGAGTGTCAGGAGGAAAAGAAACACACCGACACAATGAATCCTCGATTCCCCAGAAAATATGTGAAAATATGGGAAGTGGGGGGGAAGACAGGAACCCAGAAAATGTGCGAAAATATAGGGAATCGTTTTATTTGTGTGTATTTATTTGTGTGTCCTGGGACCCCTTCAGAATGGCCTGTCGCTGGAGTAACCTTTGGTGCGGGCCCATCGGGGCGCCCCGATGGCTGAATCCGGTGCGACAGCAGCGGCGCGCGCGCTCCAGTTTGGCCCTGCAGCGCCGCCCAAAGTCATGGCCGCGCGGTCAGGGAGGGAGTCGACGCTGGAGTGCGGCCTCCTCCTCCTCCTCGTCCTCCTCGTCCTCGTCCTCCTCGTCCTCCTCCTCCTCCTCCTCCTCGTCCTCCTCCTCCTCCTCCTCCTCCTCCTCCTCCTCCTCCTCCTCCTCCTTCTTGGCGCAGATAAGTCAGCGGTGGGAGGCACAGTCGTTCATGAATTGTGCACGATGGCGCACAGCAGTGCGCAACAATTGCAGGGGAGGGGGCACGAACTTCTGCACGGGCAGCAGCTGTTGCATGTGAAGCGATACGCACAACTGCATCCACGCGCAAGTATTGCATCCAGCGCGCAAGCTGCTGCATCCAGGCAACATGTCTTGCAAGCACTATTGCACCTCTCTCCGCGGACCCATCTGTTCGCGTGGTGTCGACGCGGCGGCGACCCCGCCGAGGGCGTTCAAGGTTGAACGCCGCCACTGGCCCAGAGTCTGCCGATATGGAACGATCTGGCGATCCCAAAGCTGCCGATCGTTCAAGGTTGAGCGATCTACGCAGTGCCCGAGACCCAGGATCAGGCCGTCGCGATGCGAACCTGCCATGCTCTCATCTCAATGGAGGCCGCAGGCCAGGCGTTGACTGCAAGGCTGCCCGCCTGCGGTCACCAGGAGCCCGTGCCGAGCGGCCATGACCCCAGACCCCCGACGTCGTGTTTTTTTTTCACAACGTCGACCCCCAGAGGTTTGGACCCCCTCCCCGGGACCAGTTTTTCGCCCCGAGTCGTTTCTTGACGGTCCAGGGGCCTGGCGAGGGCCCCCAGAGGCCGAAAATAGCGACAAGAATACCCGTCGTGATTTTTGTTACATCGAAGCGAGGGTCTGGGACGGGGGGCCAGCCCCGCGGAGAGGGGGGGGGGCCCACAGCGCTCGGGAAGGCCGAGAGGTCCAGCGCCTCCGCGGCCATGCAGGGGGGCGGCCGCTCGGGGCACGGGCGGGCGAAGACGGTCAGGCGATCGTGCAGTGGAGGGAGGAGGAGGAGGAGGAGGAGGAGGAGGAG